TCGTTAGATACTCTTCAGAGTGTCTGTATCCCTTTGGAGTAAGAAGGAAAATACCGTGTTTCCATATTGTAAATGGAGACGAATAAAACTGTTAAAGATCATGCGGAAGGTAATACCTTCGAACTGTCCAAAAATGCGCCTAAACGTTGCCAGTGCAAGGTTTGCTCGGAAGACATTTTTGTTACAGTTAGCGTAAGATATCAAATCGTAGGCTGCCAATATTCTCAGGTCTTTTCCAACATGGGATACTTCTAGAAGAAAGTTACTTAAGTTGTATTCGTTGTCTACAACATGTCTCAAATGAACTACTTTACACTTTGAAGTGGTAAAGGTAAGTCCTTTTTCATCCGCCCAAATTTGAAGCCGTTTAAGGCCCTCCTGAAGTTTCGATTTATCCTCCTGGTTACGTACGTCTCTCCAGAAATTCACACCATCAGCGAAAAGTAATAAATCTGACGATACATGGTGTGGTAGATCGATCATATAAATATCCTTGTAACACGCCTGCATAAACCGTCGATTGATTTGCACTCGCTTCTTGTTTGTTTCAGCACAGTTCCAGGCATCCAGTGATGTCAAATAAACTGCAGTTCAACGACTTGACAGCTTAATTGCGACTGTATATATGAAATTCTGTATCAGTTTGAGTTTCCGTTTGGAAAGAACAGTAGGCAAGGTTGCTTATGTTAGTCCTGTCAATAATGCTCTCTCAGTTGACCCAAATTTCTTTTGGGGACGTCAACAAATGAAGGCTCAATGGAGTGTCGAGGTAGAGAGTTCCATTCGTTAGTGTAAAAATGCCACAGACATTCGAGGTTCGTTAACGCTTTTACACGTAGCACTTTTATAATCGAAGCATGCCGACTCAGTCAAACCAAAAGGTAAAAGTGAATGAGTTTCAAGATATATCTGGAAGGCTATCGGTATATCAAATAACGTTTGGTCAAGCTGACTGGTAGTTGGAAGGGAGGCGTAGCACGACTTATCCACTGGTGCGGATGCGTAACCACACGTCCACACCATGTATGTTATTTTTTCGTCGCTCGCTAACATTTACTCATGTGCTTACTGCCTTCTAGTCTATGTTATTTGTCAATAAAAATGTAGTTGTCACTTCCCTTTGTCTCCTGATATTATACACCGTTCAGATTGATATAATAACGGTTATCGAGACGATCGATTAACGAAGCACTACACTACATATTGGTTAGCCCGACATGCGAACACGTAACAAAATTGGATGCCTCGCCGAACGAACACTCAACATATTGGTGAGCTGTATTTGGAACACGCAACAGAATTGACGACCGCAACGAGCGAACACAAATCAAAAATGGAACCGTCGACGACGTATCCCGTTATGATTCAAATAATCATCACATGCTCATTATTACAATAATGTCATATCATCATCTAACGTGGAATTATTATTCTTGTTCGTATTGACATTAAACTATGACAATCGCGCGGTCATATCACTAATCGAACAAATTATAATGATATGGACACTACACGTTATGATATTCGAAAATCACTGGATTATTTTTATTATCCAATGACGTACAATTTTCCTGATTCAAGTGAGTTCGTTCCAATTTTTTTCTTTTTCATGTCATAGACATAAGTTTGGAGTCATACTCCCGATAGTAGGAACTTATGTTCTCGATAGACAACTAATGTTCATTCATTTCATTGGTACGCAGCAACCGTCGTTTCCTACATTTTCAGCGACAATCTAAACCAAACTTCCGCAATTTTTGTTTCACGATGATCCCTACTTTAATGTTTATACACAAGTCGAGTATTCGACGCCGCATTACCAGCCGATTAGTAATAATTATGTTCATATTATCTATTTATTCACATTTATATCTGAATGCTGCACCATCCATTACCGATAATCGCTATTCGATCGCTGCAATTAATATCCTATTTCCATTGCACTATACACCAGAACATAGAGTTTAGAGCCAGTCTCTCAAAGATACACTCTTGTTCGTCACATTGAAGTCAGTCTCACTCGCTGTCATCGACAATCATATGTATTGGTATTTTTATTATGCCTTAAAACGGTTTCGTAACAAATGAGGTTGAGCGCATATCCCTCTAACTACACAAACCGCGCTAGGCTTCCAGACCAAAAAGGAATACGACTCCGCATACCTCGTCTCAGCAGTCACTATCCTGTTCCTCTGGTCATTCTACTAATACATATTTAACGCTAACTCAACGCAAGCGTTAGCGCACGCTGATTTCGCATTTTATTATCATAATCAATTGCAGTACAGCAATGAATACCACCTGTTGATGCAGTCATCATCCTACGGCTGGATTACTTACTATCCCACATAAACTTCAGTTATGTAAAAATACGAATACACTAATCGCTAAGCGACTATCAGAACATCATATTTTACTGTTCTTCATTCTCATATTCAATTGGCACTACAGACCAATTTCTATTATATTCTACATTACTTATTTCCACGATTTATTCCGCTGTCATACCCATAAACAATTTATTGCTCTATTTTCACGATATTTCGAATTGCTCATGCAAACATGTTATTTAATCATCCGGACAGTGACAACATAAATGCATGTTAAATTTTTTGTACGCTTACTAATTTACTAATACTCACATGCTAACATTTCCATTTCTGTCCTCATTTTGACAATTTTCATGTACATTTTCACATAAGTGTGACATTTTCGTTTAATAAACTCGCCCCTCGATTGACACTGTAACTTATTCCATATAGTACAATTTTTTTCTCTACATATTATTAACGTTATCCACATGCCATTTCAGTGTTATTTTCAAATTATTGTGCTAATACTTTAATTTTGGTTTGTGAACACATATACGCCTCCTCCCCCTTGTTTATTTTGCATAACAGTGTTTCCTCCGGACACTCTGGGGGGAGCTATGTGGGGAGTAGTGTAACGTCGTGTACTATATTACACCTTCATAGCTTATTCTAGTTTCTGGACAAGCCAATTCACCTATAACGTTATGAGTCATATTTTGATCTTGTTAATTATTCGCTTATTGACCTTGACTAATTTTTTATATGAGCGTATGTGTATGCACCCTTCTTATCCTACCTATCACATGTCTGTCATTCATTTTAGTCTGACTATAAATGTTGATTAATGCTTGCTTATAACGAGTTGGCTTACCAGCCATCTCCCATGTATGTTACTTTTTCTTCGCTCGCTAACATTTACTCATGTGCTTACTGCCTTCTAATCTATGTTATTTGTCAATAAAAATGTAGTTGTCACTTCCCTTTGTCTCCTGATATTATACACCGTTCAGATTGATATAATAACGGTTATCGAGACGATCGATTAACGAAGCACTACACTACAATCCTGTTAGGAAAGTGAAACGGACAACGGCGACGTCACTTACGGAATATAGGCGACATTTTCAGTCAGACATAAGAACTGACCTTGATTGGCAAGAAAACATCAGGAAAGCCCGAACACGCACTTTGATTTCGGTTGATATTAATCAACAATCTATCATACAACACATAATTACGATGGCTTTGCTCGGGAACACGTTATAAAAGCAAAACATTCAGCAGCGATAACCAAATTATGGACTGATATCTGCTTAAAAATTCGAAGACAGATGATTCTGTTAATGAAGAAAAAATGATCAGATCGACCATCAAGTGTATCTATAGCAATGTATTAGTAATATGGCGTAATTTATAAGTCAGAAACATGTGCTATCCACCGAAACCATGAGTGATGAATTACCAAGGTGACAACATCATTCTGAGAGAGCCTCAATAATCACTCCACAACGTACTTGATAGTAGGAATGAACCGGAAATCCTCAGTTACTAGCGCAACAAGTTTTTCCCTTAGAATTTGAAGTTTTCTCTTTATTATTGTTCACATTGTGATCAGTCAATCTCTTGCCTGGTAATTTCATGGCTGCTAACTTGCTAAAAAACGTTAACCAGAAAAAATCATTCAAGTATAATAAGATGAATATAGATATACACAATGTAATTGCTCAATAGTTATACAATAAGAATATATATTTAGAATAATCGTCCATTAATAGGTCTCGGAAGTTACCTGTACCTTCAGGACTCCATGTGAGGGCTTGTCTTGTGACGCAGTTGGGTGATTTCCTAAATGTGTGTCCTATCCAAATCCAGCGTTTCTTCCTCCACTGGAATCTGGTTTGTTCTCTCTCACAGTAGATTGTAGCTGATAGTGTTTGGCCAACAGATCACAAATATTTTGCATAGACAACTGTTAATAAACACCTACATCTTCTGGATGATGGCTTTCGTAGTTCACCACGTCTTCACCCCATACAGTAGAACTGCTTTAACATTTGTATTGAAAATTCTAATTTTAGTGTTGATTGACAATTGTTTTAGCTTCCAGATGTAGTTAAGTAACACTATTCATAATAATCTATCTTTATAAACATCTAATTATGAATTACCTATTTCTTTACTCAATATTTTGCCTTAGTAACTAATTCATGTTTTGTATGGTTGAAATGATAAGTTAATTGAAGCTAGACCACCATGAAAAACCTGGAAGCACTGGACGACTGTTTCATCCCATTGTGACACTCCTTAGCAATACTCACTCATTTATTTGTAATCAGTAATGTTTACAACTAAACGAATAAACATTCGATTTTCTTAGTGAAAAACAAACAAACAAACAAACATGAGTTTGGTGTTGTTTCCTTTCTCGAAAAAAGTTTTATAATGAATAAATTTGAATCAATAATTTGTAAAAAACATCAATTGTATTTCTTTATAAAAGATACATGAAAGGAACTCCCCAGGACAGAGTAGGTTGGAGAATACTGGTCGGCCGCCTATGCTTTATTGGGAGTAACAGGCGTAAGTAAGTAAGTAAGTAAAATGAATTCATTACTATTATTACAAAATATAAACAAGGTAACACCTAAATTGTTTCTATATATATATAAACACAACATAACCTACATGTATTGATGATTGTCATTTAATGTTTGGTTAAAAAAAACAAATCACTTCACACTTTATGATTATGATGATGATAAGGTTAAATGTATTTCATTACTTTGTATTCCTTATTGTAAAGCAATATGTATTAGTCAAATGTCAAATGATAACAAAGGAACAATTAAATTTCATTGGAATATTACATCATAAACTTAAAGATGATCATGATGATTCAAAAGGTTTTGAACAATCTTCATTGAAACATAAAGAACAACTTGTAAGTTGAATAAGAGATGCATTTATTTTCTATGTATAAAATGAATGGGAAAAATCATTTATATAATTGTAAGGAAAGATGGATAGTGGCTAGCAGTGGAATCCAATTTGACGCGCGTTTCGTCCTATTTGGGCCTTGTCAGGTGGATATACTTGCATCTCAGAGTTGATGTTCACTCTGGGACAAGAACCCAGTACCTTTCGCTTCAAACGCCATCGCGTCCCAAATAGAACGAAACGCGCGTCCTGGATTCCACTGCTAGCCACTCTCCATCTTTGCTTATAATGCTTGTGAATTTAGGTTATATCGAGGCAATAGGCACAGTATGCACATATGCCAATTAGAGACTGACCAGTTGCAGTCCTAAACATCATACTGATCTATTCTGTCTCTAAAGTTAATATGAGCCTTAGCCTAGTAATTTGTTTTTGGTGGTTTGTGTTGTTTAGTTATTACATTATAAACAATAATAGCGTTTGAGTTCAGTATTAGTACCTACAAACATTTATTCACTGAATATCAGAAAGGGTTTTTGTGGATATTATAGTAATTTCAATACTTGAGATCATCAGTCAATTGAAGCTAGACATTAAAACCGTTGGATGCCAGCAAGTTCACACGCTCGCACGCGAGAATGATAGATCCTGTGTTCGAATCTCGCAAATCAGGATCGTGGATGCGCACTGGTGAGGGGTCCCACTGTTATGTAGTAGCGAAGACATAAGTACGGGTAACTTGCAGGACCTACTGTTAAACCATCATTCTTATTGTATAACTATTCGGTAACTAGATTATCTATATCTATATTCATTTTATTGTAAGCTTCATTTTGACCTATTGATTAGCATTGTATGATTTACTGTTCCTAAGTTATACTCAGTTTATTGATTATTGTCTCCCACGCTTACAACCTCATTTGGCTTGGTTTTGTACAAATATTATTTTCTATTTTATGGTATGATGTGGCCTGTCTGTCTGATATATAAACAAAGTATGCTTGAAATAAACGATTCGTATTGCCGAGGCTGCTATTGGTGTTCTGGACTCAAGTGGACGGGTTAGGCGGATAAGGACCAATAAGGACGCTAGATTACTCATACTAATCGAACGTCATTGTCACAGTGTGAAGGTCATAGAAGGCGTATTCTATTGGTGGGTAATTTACGCGACTTACGTCCTTGTTAAATTCGTAAGGTCATAGCGAATCAGCGACGACCTTGATCAAGTCAACAATTGGCTACAGTCTAGGTCAAAAACATAACAAATTGGCGACGGCTAGGTCATGTCATAACACCCACAATAGGACGAAATGGCCGTCCAGTGCTTCCAAGTTTTCCATGGTGGTCTAGCTTCAATTGACTTATGATCTTAACTACTGAAATTAACCATTATTCTCAAATTCAACTGATATTTAATGTCTAAATAGGGAAAGGTCATCAGATAAATTTCATACTAGAACGAACGGGCCATGTAGTGTTTTTAGACATTCAAAGGCTTTTTTAACTCCGATTGGTCCATGGTCCCAATGAAATTTAATAATCTTCACAACGCCATACTGAAAACTGATTTTAAGAAAATTCGTATATGTAGAATTGTTAGTGGAACATAGTCAGTAGTCGGAGTGAAATAAATAAATTTTAAATTTTCGATACAGTTTCTCACAAGTAAATCCATTAAAAACGAGAAAGTTTTCCAAATTTCGATCATACTATTCGAAACTGCTCTCTGTATTTCTATAAAACTTAAAGAACTGAATGTAAGCTTTTATAATATTAGTTCCCCAGCTAAATCAGTCAGTCAGTCACAACGTAGAACTTCGTACGTACGTACGTAGATTAGTTCGAGTTGGCATACCACATTAGCACAGAGATGCAGATGTCCATTCAAATCCCATGGTGGCAGAAATAGAGTATAAGCAGTAATCGGAAAGATTTTATTGAAGAAGTATAATCCAAATCCCCAGCTAAATATTTTGCTTCATTTGCACATCGATTCAATCTCGAGACAATGTGGTCAGGATTTTAAATAAAAGGCCCACATTCACCTGATGGATACAAAGTTTAATTGGGAAAGATGGTCAGGGAAGATTGACAAAGCATGATAATAGCTCTTTTTTGTTGTGTCAACTGATTTCACTAGTTCTGATATTGTCAGTTCCAGATCAGAAGGGGTTTTTGTGGATATTTCAGTATTTTCATAGTTGAAATCATGAGTCAATTGAAGCTAGACCATCATCGAAAACCTGGAAGCACTGGACGGCCGTTTCGTCCAATTATGGGACTCCTCAGCTGCGCGCATCCACGATCCCGCACTCGCGAGATTCCAGGTTTTCCATGGTGGTCTAGCTTCAATTGACTAATGATTGTCAGTTATGTTGATATTTACTTAGATCTAAACTTAATCGACGATAACTCAATAAGTCCGTATTTCTATAAGTTCGTAAACTGTTGCTTTGATTCTATTTTATAGAAACGGGATAACACTTTACAACAATATGTGGAACGTAATGTGAAACAGTGCGATCCAAGTATTACATTACCAAACCAATATTTCAATAATACACCTAGTGCAAATATTTCTGAAAATAGAGATATTAAAAGGTATGATCATTGAAGAAGTTGCATTATCACCGTCACATTCTTTTTCATTTCAGTATATTCAAAGTATGGTCCGCCAAATATGATCACTATAATTGCATTGCTCATGATTGTTCATCCTATAAACAGGTAAATAGTATGTAATTTTTACTCTTAAATATTTTAAAAATATAATCTAATTATAAGGTGCATCGGCCTCATGACTTCCGAAGGGATTCGGCTTTCATGATGAAACGTCATAATTATTCTTTCAGCTCCCAGGACAGAGTTTATATAATTTTTTCTGGTTAGCATTTTTTTAGCGAGTTGGTTTTCCACGGGATGGGGTCTCTAAACCCATGCTCAACCCTACTCCTTTACCCGGGCTTGGGACCAGCGGAAGCCCCCGGAGGAGCTAAACGCGAAGTCTACTAATTATAACGGAGTAAAGAATTTGTCGGCTTGATTTGCTTGCATCTCAGAGTTCATATTTCCTACAGAACTTATAATAAAATGGAATAGACATCGTATCATCAACAAGTTAGTCAGCCACATAAATTGTCCTCTTTTAAAACCGATCTCCGAGCATTACCATAAATACCTGTTGAATGGTCAGTGTAAAACAATCGACAGCTTCATTCATCAATATCTCATAGCCGACAGATGTTTCTTGAAAAACCATATAAAATGCTGGTCAAGTCTATGAAGAAGGTATTCTGATACGAAATGTTGACACAATACTGGCTCTAACAATTTAACGACTCAATCCTTATATCTATGTGTTAAATCATCACATGTATGATTCAGACCACTCACCCAATTTTATAAGTTATTATTGTCATTAATTCATTTGTTGTCTATATCTTCACTGCTTATTATCAAGTTGATATTTATCTTTGTATACTTGATATCTATAATCAATTTTCACTTAACTTCTATGTATAAAACTTGGAATTAATCAGTCAATTATGTTCACCAGCTTTATGAGCAAAGATGGATAGTGGTTAACAATGGAATCCAGGACGCGCGTTTCGTCCTATTCGCGTCTCGTCAGCTGGATGTACCTGCATCACAAAGTTGATGTTCACTCTTGGACTCGAACCCAGTACTGTCCGCTTCCAACACCATCGCATCACCCACTAAGCTACTGAATCCTGATAGCCACTTTCTTGTACATCCAGCTGATGAGTCCCAAATAGGATGAAATGCACGCGCTGGATTCCACTGCTAGCCACTATCCATCTTTGCTCATAAAGCTTGTAACTTCAGGTAATATCGAGACAGTCCGCACAGGATGCATATATGCCAACAAGAGACTGATCAATTGCGGTCTTAAATAACAATGGAAAGGAAGATACAAGTAAACTACACCAAGTGAATTTAATCATGTTCACTGTTTAAAATTTTATTTATTTAATTTATACTACTATTATATTGTACGTAATTTAAAGTAAATTCTTCTTTTTTTACAATAAAATTATACTTTCAGTTAATGGCATATAATACTAGAAATATTGCTTGTTCAATTGGTAATTGTAAAAGGCAAACTAATTCAAGCAATATTATACTATGTTACTATTCACCATTGTAAGTTAATTAAGATTTGGGTGTATAATAATTATGCTTAATTCCTTTTTTTTAAAATCATCATTCATTCAATTATGAAAATGTTTTGATATGTTTAATCTCATATAAATTAGTTAGAATAATTACAGTTTTAAGATGTTGTAAGGACGGTTAGTCGGTAAACTCTAGGAAGCCTTAAGAAACCCAGAAAGAGCCGAAGACACTCCATTCAATCACTGCTAGGGGAATATTCTAGAATGTCGACGTGTAGCTTCTCTGTTGGATGGATAAGAATGCACCCCTATGTGACTATTGGTTGTTCGAAATGATGATTTACTCTCAGTCAAAAAAACTATAAACACATGAGATTTCTGTACTATATTTTGACACTGTTTTGGGGAATAAAAGTCCCTACTTACTAGTCTTCTGTTTTCTCTCTTGTGACGTTGCTGGTTCGATCGTTCAAATAGTCTAGTAGTACGCGGCATAGTAAGAATCAAAGTTCTAGATATAACAGATGTATAACACATGATTGGACAACTGACAGATGCATTTCCAGTAGAGACCCGAGTTAGACAAGGTTGTCTACTCTCCCCATACAATGGACATCTCACAATCAATTAGATGATTTGGACTTCACAGATGACTCAGCCCTCTTATCTCATACACACGAACAAATACAGACAAAGACAACAAATGTAGCAGCAGCCTCTGCATCAATAGGTCTCAACATACACAAAGGAAAAATCAAGATTCTCAAATACAACACGGAGAACACCAACCCAATCACACTTGGTAGAGAAACTCTGGAAGAGGTGGAAACATTCACGTACCTGTTAACGTATGATTGATGAAGAAAGAGGATCGGATGCAGATGTAAAGGCGAGGATTGGAAAAGCAAGGGCAGAATTTCTACAAATGAAGAACATATGGAACTCAAAACATCTCTCAACTAACTTTAAAGTCAGAATCTTCAATACGAACGTCAAGACAGTCAGTTCCACTGTATGGAGCTGAAACGTGGAGAACTACTACGGCCATCATCAGGAAGGTACAAGTATTTATAAACAGTTGTCTACGCAAAACACTCAACATTCACTGGCCGGATACTATCTGCAACAGCGTTTTATGGGAGAGGACAAACCAGCTTTCAAGTAAAGAAGAAATTAGGAAAAGACGGTGGAAGCGGATAGGACATACATTAAGGAAATCACCAATGTGCATTACAAGGCAAGTCTTAACTTGGCATCCGGAAGGGAAGTGAAAAAATAGGAATGCCAAAAAACACACTACGCCGGGAAATAAAAACAGATATGAAAAGAATGAATAAAAACTGGAAAGGATTGCCCAGGACAGAGTTGGATAGAGAATGCTGGTGAGCGGCCTATGCTCCTACATGAGGGGTAACAGGCGTAAGTAACACTTGATTGAATTCATTTTAACAATGATTCCATCTTATGTATGTTTAGAATATCAAATGAATGAATATCAATAGTTGAGATCGTAAGTCAATTGAAGCTAGACCACTATGGAAAACTTGGAAGCACTGGACGATCATTTCGTTTTATTGTGGGACTCCTCACCAGTGCGCATCCACGATCCTGATTCGCGAGATTCGAACACAGGATCTATCATTCTCGTGCGCGAGCGCTTAACCTCTAGACCGCTGAGTTTGCCGGCATCGAACAGTGTTAATGTCTAGCTTCAATTGACTCATGATCTCAAGTATTGAAATTACTATAATATCCACAAAAACCCTTCTGATATTCAGTGAATAAATGTTTGTAGGTACTAATACTGGACTTAAAAGCTATTATTATTGTTTATTTTGTAATGGAGATGATTTATCACTTTGTATACTGATAACATAATCTAAATTACATATATTATAAAGAGAATGTTGACAAATAGATAATAGAATGAGAATACTCAATGTGATAATTAGAAGTACTGGGATAATTAATCGAATAAGAAATCCCTGAAATAGCGTAATTCGAGTTCGGTAGAACTAGAAGAACTCAAACGAATGTATTGTATTGAGAATTTGAAATCAGGTATACATCAAGTACAAACATCATACTAATATATGATGAACTGATAACAATTGGCAATAAGAAATATAGTGATCCATTGCTATCACTGATTCAAATTGACTGTCATAATAAGAATAACGAAACAGCACAAAGCATCAAAAACAAATTACTAGGCTAAGGCTCATATTAGCTTTAAAGACAGAATAGATCAGTATGACACTATGAATATGGATCGTTTAGATCTCACATTGAACTTAAACGACTGATCAGACTAATTTAGTGATTTGTATATAGTTTGGTAAGCAGAGATGGATAGTGGCTAGCAGTGGAATCCAGGACGCGCGTTTCGTCCTATTTGGGACTCGTCAGCTGGATGTACCTGCATCTCAGAGTTGATGTTCACTCTGGGACTCGAACTCAGTACCCTCGCTTCAAACGCCATCGCGTTATCCACTCGGCCACTGAGTCCTGATAGTCACTTGCTTGTGCGATGGGGTGAAGTTTGAATTCACTTAGTATTGTTTGTTTGGATCTTCCCATCGATGTGTTTAGGACTGCAACTGGTCAGTCTCTAAACAAACAATACTAAGTGAATTCTATATAGTTATTCAAATATTTGGTTGGATAGCTGAAACCTGACTGAGTAAACATTCTGACTGTTAAAGCTCAGAATAATACAGTGTAAGTTGTAAGTGTAGTAGTTTTATTGTGAAACGGTAGTTGGTGAACTAATCTTCACAATGACCTGATGTTTCTATGGTCTTCTTTTCAAGATATATAATATGTTGCTAACTTTCTGTTACAGAGCAAATGCGGACAATCGACCAGATGAAATCTATGAAAATGAACCAAATAAAAATTTTTATACCGTGACAACTGAAGTTCCTCCAGAAACTACTTCTTATGTGCTCGAACATGGACGATGTGAATGTATTTGTTAGTTGGGAACTGGTCAACGAAGAAAGAATGAAATTTCAAATAAAATCACAAATGTTCAATGTAAAGACTCAATTTGATTTGTTTTAATTTTACCACAATATACTGAAATTTGATTGCAGACTCAACACACACACACATAAATACAGAGTGTGTGTGAAAGAAAAGATGGAATGTAACGGCTAGATTGCATTAAGACTACCTAATCTATGTAAATCGTGTCATATTTATCTTTAGTGTTTACCCACGACAATATGCAGCATTAATTATAATGTAGTACATTGATTTAGAAATGAATATCAAAAAGCATAACCATTAGGAATGGACAGTCCGTCATCACCAACGTAGGATCTTACACATACGTTGTATTAATTTGTTTGACATACGATATTTTTCATCTTTGTCTAGAATCTCAAGTCTAGCCTCACTATTGCACACCCGGTGGTTCCAGGAAAATTGAGCAGCGCTTAGATAACACGAATGACCAAAAACACTCAGCCTAAGCATATCTCCAAATTTTGAAGACCGTGTTTCACACTCATTAAGTGTTAGGGAGTGGGTTGCTGAACAGTATACTCGTCCTTTAGCTGTCAAACGGACACCTTGCTTACATTACTAGTGACGTAGGTTGGCACACACTAATCGAGGCTCCTGAATTCGCGGAGAAAATGTCATCGTAAAGCATGCTGTCAGGGAGAAATATTTATTTCGCTTGTTACTAAGTTTCTTGAAGTTCAATCATAGATCATTTTTGAATACAAACATCAAGTTTAGACCATGTAATTAATATGGTTTCTGCTCATTTGAATAAAGCAGAGTTAGTGAAATGGAATCTCCATATCTTTGCCTCATATGGATCGATTATATCCAAGGTTTATTGTCATTTTCAATTTGTTAAATGTTACGATATGCTGGGATATGGGATAATAAAATTTGTCACCTATTGGGGTTGGAAAACCCTGATTCCAAACCAATGGTGCACATGGGCTCCAGTATCCTGAAGGAACAAATGGCGTATGAATCAATTGTCGGACACCGGCTACCATGGGACTTCATCTCCTTACGATGCTCCACTGCCTTGTGGATCAGATCTTTCGGTCAAAGGCTCCGGTTAGGGCTCCCTAAGAAAACCACCTGCTTCAATTCGGGCACCTGGGCAGTATCACAGCCCTCACACAAATCGAAAGGAATTTGTGTGGCGCATATATATCTGGTGCCTCCTTTTACCAATATTTATGTGTTTAAATGAATAAATAAAACAAAAGTGGCTAAATAAACATGTGTATGGAATTAGAAAAAGGATAAGGTAGTGTCTTCGGAATAAAGCAATATAAATGACAAATAGATGTATATAAACACGGAATATCTCCTTTTCATTTGTTTGTTTAATTAATTACAAATATTTGGTATAAATGAAGATGTCACGGATACGTGGTGTTTAACAAGGCTACCATCCCAGATCACTTCTTATACAACAATCCCAAAATTAATCAGACCAGATATCAAGAATGACGGTATGCTTAGATAATGGTTAATCTGTAGGATTGTAAGCAATCTAAGCTGACTTAGCATAACATCGAAAATCCAAAGATGATCTGGTGAGGATGCTTGACCGAGTACCTTCAGTTAAGAGTGTAACGTTCAATAAGGTCAGTATGTGTTGGGGCGATCCTGAAAATATCTCGCAATACACAAGAAAGGCTCAGGAAACTTTAAGAAGCATTTTATCTAATCAACGTTCAATATAAGTTTTACCAGAAACATCACGAAAGTGAAAAGTCAAATGTAAAGTTTCTGTTCGGCTGATTATTACACTGTTGCTATGCTTAGTAGCATTCCAGAATTTTCAGGAAAGTCAGCCAGTCAATCACAACGTAGAACTTCGTACGTACATACAGGAAAATCCAAGGACTTCTGAAATACTATAAAACCCCTATATTTTCTGTACATAAATAAACCTTTGGAGTGAAGTGCTGCTCGCATATTTTGAGCCTTTTCTCTTGTGTTCAAATCGCTGTGTAGATTTAGCTTGGGGGTTACAAGACTAGCTTACAATCTGAATATAGTGTTTAATTAGCAAGACTTATCATTATCAATGTCCAATACTAACAAAACTAATAATTCCGAGGATTTATTTACCGATAAAATAGGGAACAAAATCAATGGGTACAACGAGGCACCAAATATATATGCGCCACACAAATAATTCGATTTGTGTGAGAACTGAAAAACTCCCCCAGGTGCTCAAAACGGTTTGGGCGTCAATCAATGGTAAACTACCCGATTTGAAAAAACCATAATACTCCAACCTCAGACAAATAGTTTGAACGATTTAACACTCATCATCATTGCAACAAGTAAACTCAATAGAAGACGTAATTTATTCAATAATAGTTTTAATCAGTTTAATAATAATAAGAATCTAACAAGTCTGTACAACAAAACGAATACTTGTTGCAATAAAAAAGGAATTAGAATAAAGGTAGAGATAAATAGAAAAAAAGGGAGGGGAAAGTATTAAAACAAAGAAAAAACTGAAGAGTATTATTCACCGTCGGATTCAAGTACCAACATTTTCATGATATATAGAAAAAGTGGCACGCACACACACACACACAACACATAAATACATAGATACATATAATTAAAACTATCTTTTTTTGGGGGGGGTCTATTTTATTCAATTAACCAAAACATATAAATGAACGCATTTCTGTAACAAACAAATGAAAATAATGTTGAAAATCTGATCGAGTTGAACGAGTTGGTTTATTCTCATTAAAACATTTTATATAGAGATTATTTTGGATAGCTTGATCCTTTATTAATTGTTGATCGGATTGTATTGTATCAGTATTATTATTATCATTATTATTGTTACAATAATTGCCTAAATGTTTGAATGCATCACTGAGACGTGTTTGTATAATAGGATCTTCACAATTATTAATCCATTGATAAACAAGATTTGAATAAGCTTCCTAAATAAATAAATATGTAAATTTCATTATATATTACAATAATTCAGTTGTACTGTATATAACCATTATATTAACAAGCCTCTTATTTATTTTAAGGGTTTGGAAGATAATGTCTAAAGTCAATTCAAATGAAAAGTAATCTACCAGTAATTCAGGTAGATAATGGAATGAGGTTGATTGAAGTTTAAGTCCCCAAATGCCCTGGTAAGGCCGAGAGTGAGGAGAGTACGCTCCCTCTCACGAAATGCTCTAAAGTGGCCATGTCCATATAACCACTTTCAGGGAGGTCCTACTCACTGCCTTCTCGAGGCGGGAGTGCTGTTCACGAAAATGAGAGGACGAAGAGCGAATATCCGGTGCTCTAATCGGATTAGTGGACACGGAGAGTCCACCTAGGGGAGTTGCAAAACCCTAACTCCAAACCAATGGTGCACATGGGCTCCAGTATCCTGAGGGAACAAATGGCGTATGAATCAATTGTCGGACACCGGCTACCATGGGACTTCATCTCCTTGCGATGCTGCACTGCCTTGTGGATCAGATCTTTAAGCCAAAGGCTCGGGGTGTGGTCCCCTAAGAAAACCACCTGTTTCGGTCTGGGCAACCGGACAGCATCACAGCCCTCACACAGTGTAGCGCATATATATGTGGTGCCACCTTGTACCAATATTTATGTGTTTAACCAAATAAATAATGCATTATCCATTTCTAAGGCTAACGCAGAGGATTAGCTAATCATAAAAATCTTGAGTGATATTTCATTTATAAGTAAAGAAAAAGCAAAAACCAATTATAAAATGATTATTCAATATCGTAATGTCGAATTGTAAAAGTTAAAATAACTATTTACCGGACTTAAATGAATTAAATTGAGTAGTGCAGATGAAAATGATGCTTCTAAATTGACCGAATAACTTTCTTTGGTTAGTAATGTGAATAAATCAGATAGGAATTGTGTATTCAAACCGATAACATTAATTAAACGAATAGCATTTTGTAGCTCTTCTACAGGACGAGAACGAGAACGTGATCTAATCTCCAAAAAATGATCAGTCAATGAAATGATAATATCCAAACACTGCTGAATCACTGAATTGTCAACACATCCTGCTGAACATGATGAAGATCGTGAAGTTGATGAAGATTTAATGTGATTTGATTGATTAAATTCAACACCAAATATTCCAAATCGAAGAAGACGACCAAAAGATGAGAGTTGATTGTCTGTAAGTTGGATCAATCCCTGAGGACGTAATTCACATGCATAAGAGGCTAACGAATAAAATGCTTGGCATAATTCTGGGATCTGAGAAACAAAAGTTTGCATACAAAATCATAAATTACGACTAGCTAAGGCATTATAGAACAACTAATAATAAAATAATTAATAACTAATTCACCAAGTACATGGATACGAGCCACATTAAAATCGTGACGGTTAATAATTTTATTTCTCGATTGCTTAAAGAGAAGCAGGTGGAGCAGGGTTTGAATCTACAATTTATTAGGTGAAAGTTAAACACCTTAATCAACACGAGTAGAAAACAGTCATTACTGAAAGGATGGGAGGCGAATTCCGACATGTACTTAGGCGTAGTGTTCCCTGGTTAGTGTGTGATCTTTTCCTCGAGCAAGCGGAAGAATCGGGTGGTGGAGATTGGGTTAATCTCTCATTCTACTTATACACACAAACGATTACAAAAAACTCACAGACGAACGGAAAAACAACTACAGGTGACTTAGGTAAATCGCACCGGCAGTTGGAGAAACCAGCTTTATTAAACGTCTCAAGTAGACCCTCTAGGCTTCAAAATCCAAAATAAATCTTAAAGATGAAAAGCATTGCTTCCAGAAAAGCTTATACGTTTCTCCAATCTTTATGGCTGGAAGGGGCATTGAAAGGATAATTGGAATGTAACTATATATATCTTGTTAGCAGTAAACAAAACACTTTGGAAATCAAATCCATGTTGGGAATCTAGTATGATATGATCGATATAATAATGAATGAATTTATAAGATTACTTTCGAAGAAACTGTTAAATTGCATTATATCTTACCATCAACTTTAAATATGGTATGTCAAGTTGGATAGCGTACAAGTTCTTGTGAAAAATACAATTACATAGTTAAGAAAATATAATCAATTCCCAACTTTGGATGAATTCAAAACCTAACTAGTAGTATACTGGGCACTAAAGTCAATACTAGATTATGTTTTCCTTCATATCCAGTATGCGAAC